TCCTTCTTTTTTGACACCGGTTGGTGTAGAGCCATGACGTCTATGTTCAGATTGGCCTCTCGAAATTGCGAATATTGGTGAAATCGGAGATGTTTGGGGGGAAGTAGTTTCACGTTGACCAACTATTGCTAAACTCAAACGTCGAATTAGTCCAACACCACCAGCATTTGTGTTTGAATGTTGATTCTTACCCTTTTTAGCGTAAGATAACTCACCGTCATCCGGATGTTCCTCAATAACTTCTCTTTCAACTATCACCGGTGGAATTGGTCCAATGTTAAAATCAACTTCTCCATTTGTCCTTGAACGGGGTCTAGCCCCAGATGGAACAGTAGCTCTTCTTATGGGAACAGCAGATGAACTATTTCCGGAAGCAGATGAACTGTTCATGTTTATATCAAATCCAGTTTCACTTGGATATGATGGATCTGGTAAAGGAATATGAGGCGTTTGTAAACTATTTTGTTCTACAAGTGATGATGATGATGAACCAAATTGAGGTATAAAACCCTGTTGAATCAAACGTTCCCTTTCAAGTTTTTCCTTTACAAGGTAATAAATTGAGATTAATGGATGAACAGCTTGAGTAGGATCGGCTGTAAAGGTTCTGTCTTCGTTAATAGAATTATTTGATCCAGAAAACTTTCTACGATAATAGTCAAATCCACTACTACTACCACCAGCAGCACCACCAGCACTCATTCTTCTTCTATGATCAAAAGAAATATTACTACTGCTACTAGCACCACTTATATGTGTTGGATATATAAAGTTTTTTATCGAATTTTGGTATGATTCACTTTTTATAATATTTTCAAGGCGCATTTTAATTTCTTGTTCTGTACCAAATTCAAAGCCAGTCATGCCCCGAATTACCTCCATATCGAGTGGAAGACTTAATGGATTACGTGGAGGTAAAAAATTTTCAAGTGGACCTTCGTGACCTTTATTCATCCAAGGATGATTCATAACTTCTGCTAACGAAGCACGATGAATTGGATTTGCGACTAGCATTCTTGATAAAAGATGTTTACAATCTTTATACAGGATTTTTTAAAAAAAAAAAATAAATCAATCAATCAATTTAAAAAAAGCGATATTTATATACACATATATAGATAGATATTATTAAATTTTTTAAAATTAATATCTTACCACTACCCAACCATCCAGGATACTCAACTACACCTTTTTTGATTTTTGCATGTAAAGCAGGCATACTTTGATCATCAAAAGGTACTTTACCACAAACAAGAACATATAAAACAATCCCAAAGCTCCATACATCAACTTCAGGACCGGTGTATAATTTTGCATTTAATAATTCTGGAGCAGCAAAATACAATGAGCCACAGAATGTTGAAAGATGAGAACGTGGAGAATAAAGATTCGACAATCCAAAATCAATAATTTTAATTGAACCAGATTTTGATATGAGTATATTTTCGATTTTTAAATCTTTATTAGAAAAAAAATTATTGGAAAAAAATTAATTATTAATTTGATAAATATATAAAATACAATGAATAAATAAAAAATTTACCTCTGTGTACAATTGAATTTCGATGGCAATAATCTGTATTAATATTAATAATTATATATAATGTTATGATAGTTGTATAAGCAATATTAAAAAAAATTTAAAACTTTGATAAAAATTACAAAGCAATTGAGAATTGAACACGTTCATTAAAATTGAAAAATTTCATAGCTTTGATAATATAATATATGGGTTCAAATTAAATAATAATTATACTGACCTAATGCACTAGCTATTTGTCTTGCGAATTTTCTTGCGTGTTTCTCTTTTAATTTTCCATGACTGATTATATAATCCAACATCTGACCACCGTTAACATATTCAAAAAACATGTAATAATGATGTTGTAGTACCATAACATCTTTAAGTTGGACTATATATGGATGATACAAAAGCAACATAATTGCTGCTTCACGAATAGTTCTAGTTTCTTTGTTTTCGTCTTTGTTGGACGGATCTTTATCTTTATTATCGGATGGTAAAGACCTTGGAATAATTTTTACAGCCAACTAAATAAATAAATAAATAATAAAAATAATTAATTTAAAAAAAAACCACATTATTTAATTAATTGATTAAATGAATAAATGAATGAACTTAAAATTCAAATATGCGTATTTAAATGCATGTTTATAATCATTTGCAATAATTTAATCTTTACAAACCTTTTCATTACTCAGCGAATGTATTGCCAATTTAACTTTTCCCATACTGCCAGCACCTAATGTCTTTGACAAAGTATAATTCCCAAGCACCTTTTTTGGTTTAACTTTCGAATGATTACTGCTCGCATCTGAAGCAGGAGTGCTATTTGATGTATTGTTACTATTATTAAGATCAGGATTCATATGAGGACTATTGGGGTCATTATTTGAAAACTGTTGTTGCTGTTGTTGATTTTGATGTTGATTTTGATGTCGAGTATGATTGTAATGTTGTTGCTGCTGTTGCTGCTGTTGCTGTTGCTGTTGCATTAATCGTTGTTGTTGTTGGTATTGTTGGTTCTGTAGTGGATTCTGGTGGTGATAATGTTGTAATTGTTGTTGTTGTTGTTGCTGCTGTTGATGTTGTTGTTGTTGTTGAAAGAACTGTTGCTGCTGCATCTGTTGTAAATGTTGCAGCTGTTGCTGTTGTTGATGATGATAATGATGTTGTTGTGCCTGTGGTTGATGTGGTTGTGGTGTTGGTTGATAATGCATTTGTGGTTTTTGTTGCGTATTCATATATAATTAATTGCGTGTATAAATGTATATTATATTTGTTATATTTTTATCTTTAATAATTAGATTATATTATTGAAAATAACGTAATATTTATTTTGATTAGTCGTTGGATCTTGAAAAATTATCTAACATGTGTATATATATATAAATTTATTCACATATAATAGCAATAATAACTTTTTAACATTTTTTTATTTCGAATTTTTTTGTGACACCAATTCTGGATTATTTTTAGGCACATACCAAATATGAGAATTTTGTATGAGACATCTTTATTTGTGAGTGGCTTGTCTTCAAAATATCAATATTAATATGTAAAATTCAGCAAGTGTGCGGAAATTTTTGTGCCAATCAAATTTGGCAAATATCGGCAAAAAATTACCAAATTTGGTTAAAAAGCATGCATATATTAATACATTGGTTGTCGTGTGCTGCCAGTAATTCATTTCCGACGATCATTTAATAATTATGCTTCCTGCTAAACCAAGTAGACAAATTAAAAATGATCAAGATTTGGAAAATTGGCTCGAGTCAGAAGCCTTTATACGCCTGATGCATTTTATCAAACTGTTGAATGAAAATGTGGCCAATCACAAGAATTCTGATCCATGTCACGTCTCTGAGGTAATAAAAACGTCTGATAAAATAAATAAATGGCTTTAAAATATAATTTGTTCTAATTTATTTTAATCATTAATAATTTCAATCAGTATTATAATTCATGGTTATAATTAAAATTAACAAATTACAGATAACACAAAAAATAGTAAATACGTTGGATACAATGATGATTTGGATAGATGAGAATCCCCCATTGCCCACGCCTCAAAGATTCGGCAATAAAGCATTTAGAACTTGGATCAATCGACTTGAACAGGTTTGTTAATATATTATATATGTTACATACTAATAATCCATTTATTAATATATAGATTCTCTCCTTTTTTTTTGTTATAGAATGTGGAAATCATCCATAAAGATATTTTACCGATTGAATATTATGACCATATAATAGAATTAGCACCATATTTTGTAGAGAGTTTTGGTAATTCCACGCGTATTGATTATGGAAGTGGACATGAATTAAATTTCGTGTGTTGGTTGTGTTGTTTAAATTTATTAGGACTTTTTGAAGAGAAAAATTATACTTCAATAATTACAAGAATATTTAAAAAGTAATCAATTAACTACTACTTGATCGATTGAATAAATAATAGTTACAATAATAATAATAATAAATAATAATAATAATAATACTTATTATTGTTATTATTATTGTTTACAAGATATTTAGATTTGGTTAAAAAACTTCAACGAGTTTATATGCTTGAACCAGCAGGTAGTCATGGAGTATGGGGATTAGATGATCATCAATTTCTTTCATATTATTGGGGAAGTGCACAATTAAGAGGTATCAATCAATTATAATAAACCTAGTGAATTAATGTTATTAATTTTGTTGTTTGACTAATTGGTTGGTTTTAACCAATATGATTATTATCAATATATTGTCAAAAGATCATCCAAATATAAAACCTAAATCCATATTATCGAATGATTTGGTGGATATGTATGCTAATGAGTATATATATTTTGGCTGTATAAAATACATTAATGAGGTATCGATATATATTTATTTATTTGTAAATATTACGACATACATTTATTAAGTGTACGCTTATATATGTGTGTATATCTTCTTTCCAATATGTATATATTATATTATAAGGTAAAAAAAGGTCCATTCCATGAACATTCACCTTTGCTTTATGATATTTCAGGAGTGCCAAACTGGTCAAAAGTAAATTCAGGTTTGTTGAAAATGTTTGTTGATGAAGTAATGAAAAAATTACCAATTGTGCAACATTTTTTATTTGGAACATTATTACCGTACAATAATAATAATCATTAACTGTTGTTGCAAAGATTTAAAAATCCGATTGCTTTTATTCACGATTCTCAATATAAGATTATAATACTGTAATACTTACTGTATGTAATATCATTGTACCTTTGTTTTATTATGTCTATATTTTAAGACTACTATTTATATTATATTAATATATATATATATTATATATGTATAATAAAACATGTTCAAGAATAAATAAATAAATTTTATTCTGGTAAAGAAAGGTTGGTGTAGCACGTCATATTCTAATCCTCCACACATATGACTAGATGATTACAATTTGAAGAAAATTGTAAAAAAAATTTTTTTCAATTTCGTAAATCCATTATTTTTTATGATCTGGATGCGGATTTGCTATATTAAATCTTTTACATAGAAGCCTATTGGGATAAAATTCTGTTTTAGAACGAGTAAGAGTTCCAAACATATTCATCCTTGCAGCAGTCTCTGCTGTTGATTGTGTCTGTTTTCGGATATCCTCTTGCCTTTTAAGGTAACTTCCATCCTCTATTATTTTTTCAACACTTCTATTATTATCATCATTACTGATTTCTAAACTAGAATTGCTCGAGCTGGTGAAACGTGATGCTAGCATACTGGACATCGGACGAAAAATTCTCGTAGCTTGCGAAAATTCATCAAGTTCTTTGGCATACTCTTCGGAAGTCATCCCCTTTTTTATAGTAAAAAAAATTCGTTAATATATATAGATAAAAAACCAAAAATGAGCATCATTTAATATGTAAAAAAAACTGAAAAAATTTTTGAAATAATAATTGTAATAATAAATACTTCAGGCTGCCTGATTAATTCTTCTGAAATGATCTCTGCCTGCGCTTCCAGAAATTGTTTATATCTCATTTGTTTATTTTTATTATCTGAAAATGGTATAAATCCTTTTAAAGCAGCCATAGCAATATCCTTTCCTATTTTGGGAATTTGAACTTTATCATTTTGATCCTTAGGCGACTCTCCGACTGTATCAAATCTGTAACTGATTATATTATCCAATTTTTCTTTATCTTTTCTTGATATATAATCAAATACAGATCGTGCTGGAGCTTTTAATGGTGTTTCGCCTAATAATTCGCCACGCTGTATATATAAAAAATATTAAATGTATATGTTGTATTGTGAAATTGAAATCTATAATTAAATACGAATGCGAAATTCCTTTTGATTGGCTAATGTAATTTTCACATACATGAATTGTAGATTTCATTTTCACGCACAACATGTATATAAAATATATTTGTGCTTGAAAACAAATATAAATTTATTATATTTTACCAATAATATATAATTTACCTGTTCAGCAATTAAGGCCAAAGTTGATTGTTTCTGGTTTTTGGAATTTTGCGTTTTTGAACCAACAGGATTTAAAACCTTTTCAGTACTTGAATCAAATTTATGTACAGAAACAAAATCCGGCGGCAAAGTTGGTGGCGAATACCTATAAAAAAATTTTTTTATCAAAATTATAAAAATAGGAAATAACAATAATACTTTAAAATTTTATTAATTTTTAATATTATCAATATTTTAGAAATAATTTCAAACTCCTATTAAACACCTTTTTCAAATAAAATAATTTCAATAAAAGATGAAAAATATAAAGATACTACCATTCATCTAGAGGAATAGGACGAGAAGCTAGAACAAATCCAGGTAATGGTAAACTTCCATCATGACATACACTTTTGTTTGGAGCAGCAGACTATGTAGACAAAAAACATGGAAATATAAACTTATTCAATAAAATAAAAAATAGTCATTGACAATAAATATTATATATACGCACACACACACACACTACCTTATAAGAATTTGTATTTGGTTTACTTTTGGGTGTTGACTTTGAGTGTTCTTTTCCGCCTAAAATCAAAATATCTTCATAATCATCCATCATAGAAGTATGAAAATTTGACATGGATGTTTCACCATTAATATATATTTCATCTTCTTCATCATCTGAAACACCAAAACCAATACCACCTAACAATTACATCAACGATATGATAAATAATAAGAAGAGAACATTTTTATTTATAATATCATTATCAATATTTATAATAATAGCAATAATTAATAAATACCATGATCTTTATTACTATGATCTTTATCATTATTATTCATAATATGAGGTTCTACATCCTGTTCCTCTCGCCAGCCCATAGCTTTCAATAGACGTAAACCTAAACATTTCAATTGATTTAAAAGGTTAACAATACAGGGATAAATATAAATAGCAACTTCATTTTTAAGAAAATTCAATATACCTATAGGATCTTTACTAGGTTCTATTAGATCTGCAATAAATTTGTCTGTAAGCGTTCCTAATACACTAGATAGTTAAGATAGATATTTATTTAGATATATCCACAAATATAATCAAAATGAGATGCATATAACTAGTTGTAATAAACAAATAATACCTTCCGCCAGCTTCCATCGATTTTCTCATAGCATTCTTTTTTTCTAATTCTCTTTCTGTAGAACCAAAATAATCAAATTCTTCAGTTGTAACCAATTTTTTCTCTTGAGCAAGCTCCTGTCATAATTAATTTCAGTCAGTAATAAAGTCAATATAATTTTGTAGAGAAAACTTCCTAGCAGATCAAATTTAATTTTAATCAAAATAATAACAACCTCCAAATCCTCTTCATCCATAAAATCCTCCGGTTTATAGGTTTTAAAATCTGTTCTTTTTTTTCGGGAAGAAACAAAAGAAGAGGGTGACCAACCTAATTGTTATATATAGAGATAAATTATTAATTAACCAAAATTATTAAAAATGAATAAAGTTTGTTATTTTAGTATTTCAGTTTTATTTCAGTTTTACCTTCTTTAGAGCCTACTGTATTATAATAACCAGCTGACCATCCACCTTTAAAAGCACCATGCAATCGCCTGATACCATTTTCATCACGAACCTATATTAATAATAAAAATTAATATCAATATCAGAAAATTGGGGAAAAAAGCTTTAGAAAATAAGTACCTCTTGTTTCCATACTGGTACAAATTTTCCATTATCCTGTTCACTAGAAATGTCTGGTAACTCTGTACCGTAAACTACAAATGTTTCGTTTGAAACATCGTCATCGCTATCGTAAACTTTTGATTTCTTTGGGAAAGGCATTTTATTAAATTTGTAAATTCTTTGGTAACGTGATCACAAATAATCAAAGTCTAAATTTTTTTTTATTTTTATTATAAATATCTATTTGAATAAATTATTAATAATTAAAGGAAAAATTTACAAATAATAATTTTAAATAAATGTTATTTTTTTAAAAAGCGTCCAGTGATATTTTCAAAAGAAAATTTTTTAAAGAATAATAATATTACAATAAATTATACCAAATATATATAAATAAGAGATATTAAATATGTTAAAAATGTATTTTTTCAGCTTGTAGATATTTTTTTTAAAAATATCATCATCTTTTTTTCCTTTCGGGTCTTAAACTCAATGACGTTGAAAAATGAGGAGGAGGAGATAATGGCATGCGCACGCCATATGGATCATTATTATATCTATTGTTATTATTATCAATATTAGGGTTTTGGTTGAAGGAAGAATTTGAGTTATATACACGTGGTGAAGGATTTGGACTAACACTTCTGGCTCTATTAGCGTTATTAGCATTAGGAATGTCATTGTAATAATTTCCACCTCTATATTGTAGATGAGGTTGATTGGGTGAGATTTTGGAAGGGTCATTTAAATTAGATCTGGTATAATTTGGAGGAGGTTGTCGTCCTCTTTGAGCTGATTGGGTTGGATAAGTTGGTGAAGGAATCGGCGAGTGTGTTGGTGAATGAGCCATAGGATGATAATAATTATTATTATTACTATTATTAATATTAAGGTCATTTCTTTTACTTTTTATTCTCTCGTTATTATTATTTCCTAGATTCTTTTCAAGAGATTTAACAGGTAGTTCAGGATTTCTTTCGTTCGAATAAGAAGGAGATCTTAGTGATTTTTGTAATAAATTTGGTGAACTTTTAGATGCTGCATAATTATAAAGATTGTTTTGCCTGTTACTATTATTGTTGTTGTTATTATGTGATTTTATTGAATTATTAGTGTAAGATGATGATAATGGTACGTTATTATTATTTAATGATGGATTGTAACCAATATCATTATCGTTGGTTGATGTTGAATCATATAACCAATTAGGAAGGTCACCAGACTTTTTCTCATAATATTCTCTCAAAATACGTGAAATATGAGTTTCGCTTTCATGACCATCTTTTTCAGATTCTATTAAAAAAGAACAGATTCAAAAAAACAAAAAATTTAAATAAATATAGAATCAATTAAAATGTTCAATTAATTTAATTTAATTAAAAAGTGCAAAAGTCTACCATTATCAGAATCTTCATTATTGTTGGTGTATATTGTAGCATTTAAAAATTTATTCCATAGTGTTGAAGTTTGTGCTGGGGATGTTATTGCTGCTGTTGTCGTCGTTGCTACCTTTGTTGTTGAAGAAGTTTCTGGAAAAAAAAAAATACATTAAAATATTACTAAATTATATACGCACATATATAGAATGGGGTGCCTTTAATGAATATTTTTAAAAGTCTTTTAAAAATACATAATAAATGTAACGAACGTTCAATTACCTTTCCCCGATGTATATTTTTTAGGAATAGAGGGTAAAGGCGGTGCATCTAAATGTGTTTGACCACATTTATGACGAGCAGGGTAAAAACCAACATCTTGGCCACAATCTTTACAAAGTATGACAACCCTAGAAATTCTATAATCAGTTATTTCAGAAACCATTTTTTATTTAAAATTGTTTTGACAAAATGACTAACGGTTATATATAATGTGTGTATAAAAATAAAAAAAAGGATGAATTTTATAAAGATGATCGAAAAATTTAGTTGGTCTCGTTATATTTGCTGTACATGTTGATGATTTACAACATACTAATAATTTATTAATTTTTATATTTTTGGACATCAATTAAAAAAAACCATTAACCCGACATTGCTGTTCGCACCGGTTATATCCGCTGAAACACCACAGTGGGCAAAAAAATTTTTTAGTGCTACCAATGATTTTCAAATTTCAAATGGATAAACAAACAAATAAACAATGTAATTTAAACACAAAATATATTATTATGGTGCGGGTCATTTAAAGACATTAAAAAAATTGTGCAACTTTCAAACCACTAAGGCTTTTTTTTTTTATTAATAAAATTGAAAAAAAATCTCTATTTTTGCAATCTTTAGAACCCAAGCGACAATGAAATAGAGAGTTTTTTTCAATTTTATTAATAAAAAAAAAAAGCCTTGGTGGTTTGAAAGTTGCATAATTTTACTATATATATCAAAAAAGAAATTTGGCACAAGATGTTCTTTCCTATTTAGTAAAAAAAAATTCTAAACACGTGACCAGATCAAAATTATAATAATAAAATTCCGTTCAGAAAACCATTGTCATATTTTTTGTAAGCAATCAACAAACAATACAATACCAACAAATTCACATTTTTCCAATTAGAAAAATTCCAGGACTAAATAAGCAAGCCGCACATTTTGAAAAAGAAATGTTGAAAAAACAAAGTCAGATAACGAATTGAATAAAAATTTAGAATATGCATCAATGAAGAAGACTCAGATAAAGAAATTGATTATATGAATAATTTAATTAATTGTTTTGTTTATTTATTCGAATTATTCATTTTACTTAATTATTCGTTTGTTCAAATTATTCATTTGTTCAAACTATTTGAATTATTCGTTTTTCGTTTATTTGTTTTATTTGTTTTTTGAATTATTCGAATTATTCTAATTATAATTATTAGTTTTATTCATTATTCCTTTATTCGAATTATTCGTTTATTCAAATTATTCATTTTATTTGGTTTGTTCGTTTTTTCAAGTAAAATTTATCTGAATAAACTTTCAATGTAATTCGAATACTCGTAATAATAATAACAATAATAATAACGAATATGATAAATGATTGAGTCATGTGATTTTATAATCCCGTGACACCAAAAAGTATCATTAATCGGATGTCTTTAGATGGCACTATATATATAGGTCATGCTTCTTTTTTCTGTGCCAAAATAAACTCCTTTTCATTGTTGTCAGCAGATTATTTCTTTCAGGACCCAAACCCCATATTGACCTGTCAGTATTTGACCATGATGATGACAATGACGATGCCTGTGATTCCCATCCCTTCTCGCGACTCTTTCAAAAGGTTATATCGACAGCCACTCCATCTGTTTTTATATAATATTTTAAATTTACGATGTGGTTTTATAAATCTCTGCAAGTTGAATATTTCATTTCACCACCAATCCTTTATTCTCTTGAATATTACTGACTTTGGTCCCAGAGAGCTTCAAAAGTTCTAACAGCCCATTTGTGTCAACATCTTAGTATATGATGCAAAAAAGGAATATATTTCCACTAGGATGTTAACCGATTGATTTTTCACAATCGATAATAATAATAGAAATCGAAACGATTCGAAACAATATTTTCAATTTATTTTAATCATCTATATATTTTTAAAAATTCATCAGTAAGTTTTCTGACGCGGGTTTACATGATTATCACACTACTTGTGTGGGTTTACGTTGGCCCCATAATATTATGCAAAATCATGCAGTTATTTACAATCAGTATAAATATTTACATAATCTTTACGCAAATAACAAGCGTAATATTATGGCGGGAAAATTTTCCTTATGTTTTTTTTTTCTGGAAATACATCCAATTTTTGCTTAGGGCTTTTTGATAGCAGTTGCGAGTGAGATGGGGAGAATATAATCTGGAATCGAAATGGTTGGTGGTTGATTACAAGTGTGGATGACGTTTTTGCCAACCTTCCAATAGAACTTTTTAGTTTGGGTCCAGAAATTCTTTTATTTAATTTTAAATTCAAACCATTGATCAAGCCTCTTCTCACATTCATAACCATATGGTTTGACAGATTTCTAAAAATCTGGTAGCAAAATAATTTCGAATGTTCGCAATATTTCAAATACCCATAATGCTTTCAAATACTTGCGGCAATTAAGAATGTTACAACACCCATGGCATAAAGATATTTTGTGGCATTGGATATATTTATATTTAATATTAATAGTGTGTTGTTTATTATATTTACTTTGGAAAATTGATTATCAAAAAGATTGTTGTTATTACTAATATTGAGATTTTTTTTTTATTATAACTTTGGTTTTTTTGTTTTTCTGTTGATTTTGTTCATTATTCAAAATGAATGCTTGTAAAGTAAAAATCTGAAAATTTTTGACGTTATACGATCTCTTAAAAGTGGTAATACTCGCTTTTTTTAATCTCATGCTTTCCAAAAAATTGTGTTTTGATGTTTAATATTTATTAATTTTGTAAATAGTAAATTAATTCAGTTTATTTGTTCGCTTATAAATGATCATTCTTGGAGTGGATAATTTCTGTTTCTTTTTTAATGTTAAAGAATTTTTGTGGCAAATTTGAGTATTGGTATTAGAATTATTGATCAAATAAAAACAATTTATATGCAGGGAAGCTTCTTTCCACCATCTAAAAAATTATCTAAATTTTTAATTCAGCAATTGAAATTGAAAAGGGATTTTTTTACCTTTATAAACTAACTTAGTAACAGCAATTCATTTACTTTGATGGTAAAGAATATGAAGTCTATATGGTGAGCTTTTACAATCATACAATAAGTAAATTGACCATGTAAAGTGATTTTAAGATTTTATTCTAATTGATTTATTTTTTTAATTAAAAAAAAAAAAAGCTGAATGCCCTTATTATATATATAATAATAAATATATGTATGAATATATATGCATTTTTGAATAAAATTAAATTTCCAAAGAAAAGTCAAATTAACGATACTACAAAAAAAAAAAAAAAACAATATAATTAGTATTAAAAAAAAAAAAACAAAGCCAATTAATTAATAAATAATAATATGCCTCAAATACCTTGATAAAACCAATATCTTTAGAATATTCACGGAAACATTGACGACATATGTTTAAATTGTATTTACGAATTAAACCAGCACGATGACTACACACACGACTACATTCATATTAAATCATATAAATTTTAATGAAGAACCAATACTTGTATAAATTTAATTAAAAATCATTACTAATTGTTACCATTCGCGTGAACCTTTTCCGTAGCGACGAGGACGAGAAAACCATACTTGATCATGAGCCATTTTTTTTTACTTTATTGTTATTGTTGTTGCTGTTATTTGTTAATTGTTAATTTCAAATAAAAAATTTTTATTTTTTGAAAAATTTTTTTTATTGATTCTCTCACATGACTTTATTATACCAACATCGGTTACACTAAAACTATCCAACTTTTTTTTAGATGGTCACCAAATTATTCGCAATGAATCTGAAGAACCATCCTCGAAGAAATTTAATGATGACAACAACAATAACAATAATATAGAATTTGTTCATATTAATATTTTATATATTTAAACATGGCCTCTAATTAGAGTTGGCACCCGTAATGTAAAATTATGGTATTAGTATTACGGTGTTGCAACTCGTGGCAACAATACAACATTGGAGGTCAGAATTTACGGTGTTGCAACTAACTGTAATGTTGTAATTTTTGTTATACAAATAAAAAATGAATAATGATTCTTACTTTCTCCCACGAATATAATAATTAAAGATGACTAATAACAAAAATAAACTTGGTCCAAAATATAGTGATATTTGGGCACGTGGTAACCATCTTGATAATGGACATTACCAAGTTACGTGTAAGCCATGTTTGTCATTTTTTAAAGATGCCTGACCTTGTCTTTTACACTCTCATGTTCAAAAGCATCTGAAACTATCAAAAATGAAGTAAATGAATTGATTTTACAAGTCAACATTTTCTAAACAAGGAAAACTCCTGAACATTCTGGACAACGTCATATTGATGGTTATTTTTATTCCGTTGATTTAGAAGAATTACGCATAAAACAATCGATAAAGCTTTAGTTATGATGTTTATTATGTGTGCATTACCTTTTCGACTTGTAGAAAACCCGTTTTTCATTAATTTTTTAAAAAGCATTAAATCTTGGATATCAACCACCTTCAAGAAAAGCTATATATATGAAATAGAGATATGGTTGAGTGGGATCCACATGCTGATTTACAGCAATTAGATGATGAATAGTTAAAATGAATTCAAATTTTTTGTGTTTGTTTTGTTCTAATAATTACATTTTAATAAATATAATAATAATAATGTTTTTAAAAGCGGGACAATATGAATATAAAATTGGTCTAAATGCATCGTGATTATGTTGCAACACTATGTATAATATGCAAAGTTACGGGTATGTTGCAACATTTGATATTTGATTACGAGAGACAAGATTAATTGGTGTAAGAAAAGGACATAATTACTCGGAAGTTAATGATTTAGACGAATATGATGGTTATGATTATATAATTAGAATCTAATAAAACCGTCAGGAAATATTTTATCATCACCAATAATGGACACCTGTGACAAGTTGTAAATTCTCTAACTGTAATAATTAAAACAAGTTACTATACCGAAACCCATTTCTACCACTTATATAAAAATATAATGTAACTATCCACATTTCCTTAGGATTGCAATTTCATTTAATTCCTTTTAAATAACAGAAATACATATTGGGGGAAATATGAGAACCCCCAACAAGAGTTTAGATCGTGATAATCCTGAACTTGGTTGTAAATCAAAAGGGTATAGAGAAACAATTTCTTTGAAAATGACCATCACTTACCCATCACCATATATGAAGCTTATGAATAATTAATAATTTTATGAGGAAGGTAGAAATTGATCCCACCAAAAATAAAATAGCAGCTTTAAGAGTAGGCAGAGAAAGTGTTTATCAACTTCAATACCAGAATGGGTGGAAAGAAAGAGATGAAGAAGATGATTGGAGGTGAAAGCTTTACTGGAGTAAATAACCAAATAGAAACTCTTGATTCATATATTAAATCTTTTGGCTCCATAAAATGGAACTTGCAAATAAAATTGAAGATGGCTGTGCATCTGTAAGCTAATTCAATATAGAATGTTGGAGGGTTATTTGAGAACGCAGGTCTTAATACCCTATGCATATTTTCGTTGCAAGACCTATAGCATGTGCCAAATTATTAAAAGGTTGTTGACCAGTTGATAATACAGACAGACATCAGAACTCCCAAACTCTATATATCTGATGCCGTTGTATATAGAAGACTTTCAGTGCAATATATGGAAATACTCGTTTTTTGTTTGATGTAAGTTGGGCATGATAATCCTAAATCTACGATTATATGAATAAATATAATTATCACCTTTTTGGAGAATATCACCATTATGAAGGTCATGTGAACGGTTTTGATCATGAATACTTCTTAAACATATAATCATAGAATAAAAGCAGATTTCTTAGTAAAATTTTATTGATTTCTTTTATATATATATATAAACGTTATTAATATATTTGCACCTGAAAATCGTTAAATCAATTTTTGTATTTTGTGTTTTTCAATCTTTTAATTAGTTTTTATTAAAACCATAATTCCAATAGATTCTCCACGTCTTCATCTACAAATTCCACCACCACCACAACAATAATAATTGTTTCTTCACTTGCTCTTTCCGAAAGACTGTTTTCTGATGTTGCGATCAAGTTTTGCAGTATGTAAATTTGAGATCACAAGCTTTTATATTATATGGTATTTTATTTATTATTAAGTATTATATGCAATGAATATAGTATGATACCAAGACTATCACTTCTGCCATTGAAGAGTAGATTCTTTGTTGATTCGGAACTTCCCTCCTTTTTATATATATTTTATCCTATTTATGCAACACAGTCCTCCGTTAACTAATGCGATAATTAGATCATGACAACAACAAATCACTTTATTAAGAAACATATTTAGTTTTGGTTGACAGTCTATCTATTGCTATTGATCATGTTCTTTTGTTGAAGCGAAGCAAAAAAAAAAATGGTTAATAATTGTTTTTTACTATTAAATAATTATCATAATTTCGATAATCAATTGCTGTGCGTGTTCTTTTATTTGACTCCATTTCAACATCCGCTTTTTGTGCCTGCAAATATGAGCGATCTGAGTTTTAGTAAGCGACACTTCTTGAGATGAGATGATCCTTGCTTTTAATACTTTCTGTTTTTTATTTGGTTCACGACATTTATGACCACAATCACAACAGAATCAAGTTTCAATTAATAGTAATAGAGCAACCGGAAATATGCGTTTGCATAATTTTTTTAAACGACATAGAATTTAAGTTCTGTAAGACAAAATTTATTTTTTAATACAAATTATGTTAACAATTTTATTGATTTCATTGATATATCTTTTAGATTTTATAAATTCCTTGCCAACAGAACAACGTTATGCACGCCTTGCACATTCATCAGCATTAATAGATGATAAATTGTACTTTATGTGCGGATCTTATACAAATGATATGTTTTATCTTGATTTATCAAAATCTTTTGCAGATAGCTTACCGCTTGTTGATATTCCATCTAATTTGCCAGTAAATGGTGCATGGCAAACAGCAAGTGTGGGCGGTCGTGATAATACAACAATATTTTTATTTGGTGGTTCATTACGAGATGTAATAACTGGAAAATATGTTAGTAATGATTTGGTTTTTACATTTTCAAGTCCTAATGGTCCATGGCAAAGACCTTCAATTAGTGGCACACCACCAAATGCAACTCCACGTGCAGGTGTGGAGTCTGTTATTGACGAAAATGGTAAAATGTATTTGTTTGGTGGAGATTATGGAACAGGAGAATTTAATAATATGTATATATTAGACACAATCAATTTAATGTGGTCAAATGGTGGTGATGCAGATCCAGCTTTCAAAAGAACACATGCCACAAGTGTTTTGTTAAAAAATGGTGAAATTTTATATATTGGTGGATATTCTAATTCTGCTACAGTTGACATTAATACAGTAAGTAATATGAAAGATTGTCTCTTTAACAAAAACAATTTTATTAATGATAATTTTATTTATTGTAGGTCCTAGTATATAACACAAAATCTTTAAAATGGTCAACAACTGTATGTATATATAAACTTTAATTTTCTTTTAATAAATTAAAATTTCGTTACTAGTTTTTTTTCTTTTAGACTGTAGTTGGGGATATCATTGATGCACGTTCTTGGCACACAGCTGTTTTAGGTAAATTAAACTTCATTTTAAAAATTATGTTATTTATTAATAAATAAATAATTTTTAAAATGTTATAAAAAGCTCCAGATGGTAAAATTATAATATACGGAGGTGCTAACATGAGTGATGCAATGTCAAAGCCAGCTATGGTCTTGTTAGATACAAACAGTAGTTCATATTCTTGGTCAATTCCTAAAATTCCACCCAATCCACCTCCACCACTAATGAGACATTCTGCTAATTTGGTTGGAAATTACATGATAGTGGCCTTTGGTAATTATATATATAACATGATTTTTTTAAAAATATGTGAAAATTTAATTTAGCAATAGTTTATTATTTTTAGGGTCATCAAGTACTGGAACATCTAATGAAATCTATTTATTTGATATCCATACATATACTTGGGTAACAACATTTTACCAACAATCCAACTCTTCTGCTTCCCCCTCAGAAAGTCCTAATCCACCAAGTGTGACAACTTCACAAACTTCAGAAACTTCACAAGCTTTGTCAAATGATGCACGTTTAATAGGTATAGGTGTAGGTGCTACTCTAGGTGCCATTATTTTAATAGGTACAGTGGGATTTTTGATTTATCATTATTATAAAAAGGAAAAGTTTAAAAATGCTTACCCTACAGCAGGTAGTAATATGGCAAATTAGTGCAGTGTTGGACAAGAAATTTTAACTCAAGTAGTGTTATAGTAATGATCTTAACAGAAGCCATTGTATTTTTTTTAAGTGACATCAAAGATGTCTTTTAATATATATTAGATTAAAATAAAAACTAATCAAAATGGTATAGCACCTCAAAAAGAAAATTTAATTTTTAAGAAAAGTTTTGCTGATTTGAATTTGTTATTATGGAGTTTATGGGCAATTGCACAATCACACACACATTATGTATATAGATCTTTTTCAAAAATTTTGAGATATTTCTTTCCTGACAAAACAAATGTTTGTTTACACTGTAAATATAAATATGTTCAAATATTTATATTAAACTTGAATAAGGGTTATAATAATTCATACTACTCTACTAGTTAGTTATAAATTAATAAATTTCCAAGAATTAAGATTTTGTTTTATTTATCTGATTTAGGTTTGTACATTAATGTAAAAATATATTATGAATAACTAATGGTAAGTGCAGTATTTGGTATATTAAAATATTTGCTTGTCTCAAAGCAATATTCATCTACCATATATTTATAATTATAATTAGTGATTATTATGAAATAAATTTATAATTTATATGACAGTGAATGTGCTCAAGTCTTTTATTTTTTACAATTATCAATTAATTTTTTCAATGTAAAAAGCCCAATTGATTGACTTCTCTATCACCACTATTGCTGAGTTCTGTTTTTTATTTGATGCATGATTTCTCCATTTAAACCTCCCTCCACTTTTGTGCCTGCAAATGTGAGCGATCTGAGTTTCACTTCTTGAGATGAGATGATCCTTGCTTTTAATGCATTTGACTAACTGATTTTGTTAATCATCTGCAACGCAGCAAAAACAACGTAACATTACCAATAAAGGGTTTATGGAAATGCAGAACTTGATTGAAAAATTATTTCTGGACACTCTATTACTATTAGACGAAACTTGTTTTTTGTTGTAAGTAAGACAAATTAATATTTCAAAACGTAAAAATGGATGGACTAAAAACA